AAATTGAAATGACAGAAATATACAAATAAAAAGGTATATAACTAATTATCTAAAGAAGTTATTCGAACTAATTAAAAATTACCTACTAAAATAATTCTAAACTAATTACAAATTCTAAGGTTATAAAAAAAATCTAGTATTACTGAATTTGATCTAAACTAAACTAAAGCTTTAAAATTTAGTAAGTTAAATCTAGATTAAATTAAAATCCTAAGGTTACTAAATTAAATCTAAAACAAATGAAAATTTCAAAGATACTAAACTAAATCTAAATCAAATAAAATTCTAAAACTACTAAACTAAACTTAAATCAAATAAAAACTCTAAAGTTATTAAACTAAATAAAAATTATAAACTTATTAAACTAATTCTAAATCAAATAAAAATTATAAATTTATTAAACTAATTCTAAATCAAATAAAAATTCTAAGTCACTAAATTAAAACTAAACAAATAAAATTCTAAAATTAACTTAAATAAAATCAGATGAAATTCTAAAGTTATTAAACTAAACTAAAACAAATAAAATTCTAAAATTTACTAAATGAAATAAAATTCTAAAGTTATAAAATAAATCTAAACTAATTAAAGAATTCTAAATTAGTATTAAACTAAATTAATTATAAGATTTACTAATATATTTTTTTTATTTTTTTTAGTAATACTAACTTAAAAATCTATTAATACTATCTTAATATTCTAAAATTACACTTAATATGAGACCAGAGAATACATCCAAGATATGATAAATAGAAAGATTCTGTATAAGAAAATAAACAAAAAAAAAATTCCAAAAAGGTTAGTTTACGGGAACCAAAAAAGAAAATAGAAAAAGTGGTAGTGAATAATTACATAATATTAATAACTTGTAGCATGGTTAAAAAAAAGTAAAACTAATGAGAAGTTACTATGCTTTTTTTGGGAAAAAGGTTGCGTAGATTAAAAATGTTACCGCCATCGCCGGATTGAAGATGCAATATGTCCTCAACTAACAACCCATAACTTGATGTATTTTCTGATGTGTAATTGATAGTATACGGACACTGCTGCTTGGAAGTTTTACAATTTGAACCCATATCACATAATCGATGGCTGCAAGATATATGCTTGCTGGATAACGACCTAGAGGGACTATACTCATTCAGATCTCTATCCAAACTGAAATAGAAACTGGCAGACAAAGGAGCACACTGTATACAATCACAAGGAACCCAAAGAAGATCGCTCCCAGCATCCAATGCTACAAGAAACGAAGTACTCGGTGTCCCTATATCAATCCACGTGTAATGTAACCAGGCCAAGTCGTTTCCAAACGACATCGTTTTGCTACCATGAGAAGGAAACAGAAGCTGGTGACGAGCGGCACCGAGGTTAACTTTATGCCTGACAAAGTCGTTTCTAAGAAGCCTCTGGTAGTACTGCATGCTCTGCCGGTCCGGCCAGTCGCCGGTCTGAACCCGAACCGGTTTCATTTCTTCGGAGAATCGGTGAATTGTTGATGGTGTTCGGTGAGTGAAGCAGGGGTTACGGAGGGTGAGTTCGATGGTTGATTCGCGGATGGGAGTACGCGTGCGGATTTGAGGGAGGAGTTGCTGGGTGTTAGCAAGTGGAGGGTTGTTGTGTTGATGGTGGTTCCGTGGAAGGGAGATGATAGGTGATGATGGGAATTGGAAGATGGAGGTTGCTGTGTCGGTAATTGAAGGGGATGGATAAATTGAAGAGGTTATGTGGCGAGGTGGAAGGAATTGAATAGAAAGGGAGTGTTACTGTTGTGTGTGTTTTGGTTGTTGTTTTTGTTTTTTCCCCCTTTTGTTACAAAGAACATGAAGATTCTTAAATAGAGAAAATGAAAAGGAATATTGTTTTCAGATTTAATCTGATCCGTCCAAAATAAATTCAACTTACTGATCCGTAACTTTTGTTAGTAACCAATAGGAATCAAGCACAGTGTAAATAATATTTTTTTGTGACCAAATAGCCCTTAAATGATAAAAATAACCAAAAAACTAAATGTATTAAAATTAACTCAATTTAAAATGATTTTTTGAATATTTTATGAATAAAATATAAAGACCCAAAATGACCAAAAATGATAAAAAAAACGGACGAAAATTTATCCGAAAAAAAATAAAATGAACACATTAAAATAATCTACATGTCACAAAGATTAAAGAAAAAATATTCAAGAAGTCAAAAAATCAAAAATAAAATAGTAATAAAAATATCAGACTAAACAGACGTTTAAGGTTAAAAACGAGACCTCGAACTGTACCGAAAAAATAAAGCAAGCATACCGTCATAATCTACGCGAAGCGCAGATTCATAAAATGATCGGTAAAAAGGTGAAAACTTGAAATATTTTTCTCGCTAATTTTTCGTACATTGTTGAATCGCTTTTAACAGTTTGTCTATAAAACCAAAATATTTTTATTATCGACATATAAACAACTTGGAGCAATGCAAGAAACGAGTAAAGAGATAAAAATGCATGAAGTGAAATGTCAGGTATTTTACAACTGAAAGACGATGCAAACTTTGATTTAAACTGACTTTTCTGGTCAACTTAAATACGACTAATGATGCAAAATATGATGAATGAAGATATTTACTAATGATTGTGATCAAATGACAAAATATGGTATGAATGTGCGACTGAAAAAATTAGGGGCGACATTTAGGGTGCAACAGTTGTGCCTTGATGAATCAGTCTTCGAGAATCCACAATCAACCGTACTTCTGGCTTGGGAGACTCAAAACCTTAATTGAGGCGCGACACCTGATGCTCTCGATTCAGACCTGTCTCTGCACATGACACAAAAGAAAACATGAACATACACCTTCGTATGCGATTAGAAATTAGTGATACATAGGCTAAAAATGTTCAAAACACTTGACAATCTTCGCATAGTCAAAGCTCGAAGGTGAGACGTTAAAACCGACCGTATTTCGTGACCTTGACTTATCTTAAAAAATGCAAAAATAAAAATGGGATCTTAGGTCAAAAATTGGGGTACAACAGCTGCCCCTATTTAAGTTTCTTCTATTTGGAGATATGAAGATTGGGATCTTCATTTCGACGAGATTGAAGGGACTTAAATATAGAATACACAATTTTTGGCCTTAAGATACCGCGATTATGTTCATGATATGATATGAATGTAATGCTCTGAATTTTATGGGGAATGATGCCATATGAGACAGACTATGCTGGAGAAACCAAGCACATTATACAGTAATCCCACAGAGGAAGAGGTTGTAACTCCACTGGGGAAACGAAGTCATAGACTTCAAATGAGAGACTCTTGAATGATTTACATCAGTGTTGAGACTGGAAAAGAAATGATTTACATCAGTACGAAGACTGGAAAAAAAATGATTTACATCAGTACGAAGACTGGAAAAAGAAATGATTTACATCAGCACTGTGGCTGGAAAAGGAAATGATTGACATCAGTACTGAGACTGGAAAAGGAAATGATTGACATCAGTACTGAGACTGGAAAATGATTGACATCAGCACTGTGGCTGGAGATAAACATCTCTGATTTCTGAATTTTACCAAGAACGGTAACACATTTCTTCTCTAACCAAGATATCGCTTGAAAAGGATAAAATAACAAACTTCCCAACGGGACTCTTCCGAAGGGATGCCATTTGTTGAGTAAACATTATTGTTGGGGATACACAAGCTGCTCAAATAAAGAGGCCGCCACTTGCTTCCTTTCAAAGGTGTCAATAACATACAAGCTGCTCATGAAGAGACCGCCACTTGATGTCTTCAAAGAATATTAAAGCACACAAGCTGCTCATGAAGAGTCCGCCACTTGTTGCCAAAAACCCACAAGCTGCTCATAAAGAAGCTGCCACTTGCTGTCTTCAAAGAATATCAAAGCACACAAGCTGCTCATGAAGAGTCCGCCACTTGTTGCCAAAAACCCACAAGCTGCTCATAAAGAAGCTGCCACTTGCGGTCTTCAAAGAATATCAAATCACACAAGCTGCTCATGAAGAGTCTGCCACTTGTTGCCAATAACCCACAAGCTGCTCATGAAGAAGCTGCCACTTGTTGTCTTCAAGGGAACAATAACACACAAGTTGCTCAAATAGATAAGCTGCCACTTGCTGTCTTCCAAAAAATACTAACGTACAAGCTGCTCATGAAGAAGCTTCCACTTGTTGCTTTCAAAGATACCAATAACCAACAAGCTGCTCATAAAGAGACCGCCACTTGCTGTCTTCAAAGAATACTAAAGCACACAAGCTGCTCATGAAGAGTCCGCCACTTGTTGTTTTTTTTAAAAAAGTGTTGGTAACATACAAGTTGTCCATGAAGAGACTGCCGCTTGCTGTTTTTAAAAAGTGTTGGTAACATACAAGTTGTCCATGAAGAGACTGCCGCTTGCTGTTTTTAAAAAAGTGTTGATAACATACAAGTTGTCCATGAAGAGATTGTCGCTTGCCATTTTTCAAAGATAACAATAACACACAAGTTGCTCATGAAGAGACCGCCGCTTGCTGTTTTTTCAAAGGTAACAATAACATACAAGTTGCTCATGAAGAGACCGCCAATTGATGTTTTCAAAGGTGACAATAACATACAAGTTGCTCATGAAGAGACCGCCGCTTGCTGTTTGTCAAGAGTATCCATAACACACAAGTTGCTCATGAAGAGACCGCCGCTTGCTGTTTGTCAAGAGTATCCATAACACACAAGTTGCTCATGAAGAGACCGCCGCTTGCTGTTTGTCAAGAGTATCCATAACACACAAGTTGCTCATGAAGAGACTGCCGCTTGCTGTTTGTCAAAAGTATCCATAACACACAAGTTGCTCATGAAGAGACTGCCGCTTGCTGTTTCTTTCAAGGTATCAATAACATACAAGTTGCTCATGAAGAGACCGCCGCTTGCTGTTTGTCAAAAGTATCCATAACACACAAGTTGCTCATGAAGAGACCGCCGCTTGCTGTTTGTTTCAAGGTATCAATAACATACAAGTTGCTCATGAAGAGACCGCCGCTTGCTGTTTGTCAAAAGTATCCATAACACACAAGTTGCTCATGAAGAGACTGCCGCTTGCTGTTTCCCAAAAAGATACCCATAAAATATCGTGAAGATATTGCTGGAGGTGAGAACCAATAATTTCATCGGGGATTGACAAACTGCTCATGAAGAGACTGCCATTTGTCGTAGAGAAATCAGAAATAATCAAACTGCTCAAATAAAGAGTCAGTCGCTTGTTGTCATGTCGATATTCCAGAAGAAGGTTGTGATAACACTGCTGGGGAATAAAGTTCATCTTCAATGGGGAACCATGAATAAATCCTTCTTGAGGAGACCAAGTATTTACATTGCAAAATAAATGCACTCTCCATCTAGGTTTCACAGCCTAGAGATATTCACAGGGTATCGTTCACAAGAGACAAAGCTCAATCCAGGAATAACCTGGAGAGAAAAACAGTCAAACAAGACTCCACCCAATGAGGAAACAACTCAAATGGGGATTTATCCTATCCAGAGATGGAAAAGGAAAGCTAAAGCAAGATTCTTCCACGAGAGTTAACTCAGTGGGGAATTAGAAAGAAGACGCACTTTCTGCTTAAGTTGGCACTCTATTTGGAAAGATCAAATACGCTATTTGAATAGACATAACCAAGGTGTACGAACTCAATGACATCAACAAATACAATTGTGCATGCATGATGCAAGTGTGAATGAATAAATGAATGTCATGTATATGCTGACAAAACAGACAGGGGAGATAGACTGAAGATGATAAGACGTCATAACACAACCCAACACTCGGCTAATCTCAACAGGATGGGAGCATTACTGGAGATAAAACACAGGCCATCATTGGAGCAAGGTCCTTTTACAAGGCTTAAATATCTCTGGAGAGGAAGATATTTTCAGGTAGAAAACCCAAAGTCTAGTCTTCTATTGCAAACAATCCATTGAAAGGATAACAACACCAACAAAGTTTCAGCTGGAAAGAAGTCTTGCTTAGCTAGAGATACTGGGAACACCATCCTCTGATAATGTATGAAAAACATATCTTGACAAATCTGGATTGCCCCTGGGATTAATTTTGGATGCCCCAAGTTTACTGCTGATGAGCTGCATGTTGCACGACAATTCTTGCGAATAGCTTCACTTCTAACATGCCCCAAGCTATCTGGTTGATGAGGAGAAATCGTCTCAAGAGGATTTTACAAAAGACCTGGCATTCACCATGCTCTGGTGTCTTCAAACTCTTAGAGGAATTCATCAAATCTCGACGTGATTGCCCCGGATTGACTATAGTCGGCACAACAAAGTCTTCGAATTTTTGCCCCAAACGAGCAAACAAGTTGGGAAAAGCATTAATTAAGAGAAGCAACATGTCCGTGCTTAAGGTCCTCAGGTGACATGCCCCTGCATATGATTTTGTTCTTGAAATAATTCGCCAATTGCTCAACAGAGCTTCAGGCCTTAAGAATAGACTCATCACTAGTGCTTATATGTGAGTTTCCTTGATATCAAACAAATGTTTCGCAGTTAGAAAATTTTATTATGAGAATGAAAATTCTAATGCAACAGTTATGTAAGTCTTGAAGATTTTGAAAAGATATCGCACAAATTTTGCGAGTTAGAGCATCATTTATTTTTGTATAGGAAAAACATATGATACCAACATAACTATTTAGAACATTCATGGGAGTCAGGAACACTATCTCATTGAAGTATGCTTTCAAAATAACCTTGCTTCAATTAGGACTTTTGAAGGTTGTAATGTGGTCTGGTTCATGGTTTTAGAAAAAAGGATTTAAGGCTCAAAGTACTCGGTGCCCACCCCCTTCATGATGTTCTCCAATCCTATGTTCAGTTAATTCAACATGAGCGTTCATCTCTCAAAAGGATTTTGTGACGATTAAGGAAACGACGAGGCTTTCGGAGTAGAAACCACCCTCATGTCTTCGTGTTTGTAGTCACCAATTTGTTCTTTGTTGAGGACTTTTCTTTGCAGTCCTTTTCTTTGCAATTTTTATTTTCCCTAACTTTTGCCTGAACTAATTCTTTTGAATTGATAGTCCAGCGGGATGCCTTAATTTTGCCTAAGTCACACGTTTTCATGTTTTTTGACTTAGCAGGCTTTTTCTTTTTCTTGATTTTTGACTTTTTGAACAAAATGTGTGACATTAGCTTGTCTTTGCTTGTTGAGAGGATTGTGATTGCCTCGTTTCTTGATGAATGAGGGATAACATTGTGGTTCCACATCCTCTAGCTTCATTATACATGAAGGATAGCCCTCGTAGTTTCTCTTCAAAAAACATCTTCCTTATGAATTTCGAACACTCAGTCAGATTAACTAAAAAACTACCCTGCCCCAGGTTAAAATTCAAGGTTTTTTCGTATAGAAAAGAAACTTCTACTTCAAGGCTCAAAAGGGGTTAGCAAGGGATTATCTTCCTTATATCTCCGGTGTTTAGGGATTTGAAACAATGCCTGTACATCATCAGCAAGATTTTATCCAAAAGCAAACAACCAGAGATTTTGTGTTCTTTAGATCATCATCCTCCCTTCAATCTCTGCCTAGGCAAGAGACTGGGCAAAAAGTTGGTATCATAATGCAAAAAAAAATTTAAAATTTGAAAACAAATATGAGTGAAACGAATGAATTTCTTCAAGACAAACATACTCATTGTATTAAGATAATCATTCAGATGCAAACAAGTTCTTACATGCAAACAATGTTTTGATAAACAAGAAAAATTACAAAAAGCAGAAATAAGTTAATGATCAGGGAAGGATTTCCATCTGGACTTGAATCACCGAAAACATCCTTCAAAACTCAAAGTGACCACCAATCGTGTTTACTCTTCGGCACGTGCTTGATTTGAACTTCAAAAGCAACGTCCTTGAATGACAAGATACCACTTCTGACCAACTTCTGAACTTCAATCTTCAAAGCAAAGCAACCCTCCAAGTCATGCCCAGGAGCACCTTGATGAAAGGTACAAGCCAAATCAGCTTTGTAGTACCAATGTATCTTCTCAGGAACCTTCGGTGGAGGTCGGGTCTGAACCAAATTCCTCTACATCAGGATAGGGAACAGCTCTGTATAGGTAATTGGAATTGGATCAAACTGGGTTTTCCTTTGATTAGGAACTTGCTGATTCTGTCGATAAATGGGAGAAAGATGATGATTCTGATGATGATTATTTCTTCCTCTGGTTCTCTTCTTGGAAAAGTTATTATCAAACTTCTTCACACCATTAGTTGAGCTACCATCTTCATATGAACATCCCTTCCCAACATCTTCTTCTAGACGCACTCCCACATTCACCTTGTCAGGAAAGTCATTAGGTGCATTAACCATCACCTTCTCATGAGAGAATGATTTTAGAGTTTCAGTGAAGACTTTTATCATCGCTTCGTCCCTCCTAGAAGGATTGACTTGGGCGGCAACCAAAATTTCAAACAAACCAGTTAAGTGCTCCATACTAGCTTTCAAAATAGTCATCTCTCTACGGAGTTCATAAACCTCTTGCTTGATATTCTCCATTGTTCTCTTAGCGTCAGTGTTGTACTGGTGAGACCAAAGGAAAAAATAAGACTTGGAAAAAGACCTTTGAAAGTGAAACAAAAAATGTAGAATGATGTATGATATGCAAAAGAGAGTTTTTATTTGATTTTCAAGGAACTCAAGATATTAAGTTGTAAACATCAAAGTATGAAGACAAAAGATGAATTTTAAATTGGCTCCAAACATTGATCAAGTTATCGTCAAGATCAATCATCCATTTTGGTGGATTAGGGTTTTCGCCCTATCAACACCCAAGATCCATTGAGCTTGACGAAACTTGTGATGTTTACAAAGAAAGACCTCCAAATTCCTTCAAAGTCAAGTGAAAAGGGTTTTATGGATGCATGAATGCATGGCTATGCAACAACCACAAGCAAGGTCACAAATAAAGTCGAAAGGTTCAACGTCACGAGCATGGAGTCAAGGTAAGGAACACCCCCAAGGTATGTACTAACGGTTTAATCACACTTGTAGAACAAGGTTCTAAGAGTTCCCGGAGTCTACATTCCTCCTTCGGATATTACCAACGTCTTGATTACTCAATAATCAGCAATATTCTCAAGAGAAACTCATCCGAGCATAGCATCGCGTAACAATTACTTCCGGATTACTCCGTTATAATCTCCGCGCTACACCTAAAAGGCCAAGATGGGTTAGGGTTCTATGGTTCCCAGCTTCTCTGGCTCCCAGGTCGAAAATAATAATGTCTTCCCGATTACTCAGTAAACAAATATTACGTTCAAAGGGGCCTTCCACTGAGTGGGGGATCTCATGCCTCCTTCTTCGGGATTACTCCCTCAAAGTTAACATGACTATACCGCCTGTCCTATTCCTAAGTGTAACTTAGTCCGGGTATAGGACTTATCCTTTGTAAATATTATCAACACCCAAATAATCATAATATATACATATAATCAAACAATCAAATAATGATAAAACATATAAAACAAATTAGGCTTAACCCACTTAGGGATGGACCAGCAAGAGGTCAATCTTTCCCCAGCAGAGTCGCCAATTCTGTAGCGGTGAAAATCGGAGATCAAGCTATTAATTAACTTAACTCACAAAAGCAAGAGTCGCCACCGCGCTTTATTATTTCCAAGGGAAAAGGGAAAAGAGAGAAATAAAACCCTAAAGTATGCAATGTAAAATAATACTTAAAAGTAATAAAAATACAATGCGTTTTTGAAAGAGATCGAGAGTTCGGGGGTTGGTTATACAATGGGAAGGTATTAGCATCCAATGCATCTGCGGTACTCCGCAGGAACCTTTTGAAATATCTGTTTTTGGTTAAAATTGTTTGTTTGATTAAAATGGTTCGTTTGGCTAAAAATATGGGTATGGACGAGATTTTGAAGATGCGACGACCTAGTGTCGAAGTTTTGACTTAAAATGTATGAGTTTGAAAATGGAGTCTTTTGGAAAATTATCTTGAGTTTTGCAAAATAGTAAACAAGCAAAAAAATGAATGAAGGGGTTCGCGCAATCGTATGAGATATGTTCGATGACATGAAGTCAACAAATTTAATTCTTTCCCTTGGAGTAAGCAAAATAAAATGAACATCAAAATATAAACATTCAGAAGTTCACAAGAAAATAAATCTGACAAAAACAAATTAATGATCAAGAGGCACCGAGAAATTGAAATGACAGAAATATACAAATAAAAAGGTATATAACTAATTATCTAAAGAAGTTATTCGAACTAATTAAAAATTACCTACTAAAATAAT